GCCCCCAGCGACTACTTCCTGTTCTCAGATCTCAAAAGAATGCTCGTTGGGAAAAAATTTTCGTCGAATGAAGAGGTGATCGCCGAAACTGAGGCCTATTTTGAAGCAAAGGACAAATCGTACTACAAAAATGGTATCGAAAAGTTGGAGGATCGCTATAATCAGTGTATCACCCTTGAAGGGAATTATGTTGATTAAAAATACGAATTTTGCAAAAAAAATGTGTTTTATTATTTTAGGCCGGGGACTTTTCAATTGACCTGTTATAGGCGCATTAGAACATTAGAGTAAACCAGTCGTTCAACAAGTACCTACTTACACAAAATACGTAATTAGATAAAAGTACTAACAAGATCCTAAATTTGTGGGGTAATTACTTACTTGAATAATGTTGACGCATTGGCAATACCTTCTTCGGTTTCAAGCAAAGTTTCAATTTCGGAAATTGCCGATCTAATCACCTCAACACACGAGGATGAAGCGAGAGCCAGACTGTCGCCGACCACTTCGTAGTATTCTAAAGCGAGACGGTCCAATAATTATAAACATTTTCAGTTGAAATTGTAGTTTTAAAAAATTTATATTTATAAAGCAGCTGCATGTTACAGAGACTAATTAAAACTGATTATTTTGATAGTTAACAAATTAGCCCAAAGTAGTCAAAGGAAGTACGCAGTAGACATATATTACTTTCATGACAGGAGTATCGAGGGCATTTTCGTGAAAGTATTTTTGTGAAAGCACTTTTCTAATAGTAAATAATAATACTAAATTTAACATTTTCTGATAATCATATAAAAAATGCTTTCCTTTCTGCAGCATCCATAATGTGCAACATACTTGTCAGAAAGTCTTCCACATACTTAGGGTTGCCATCCGTCCGGGTTTCCCCGGATTTGTCCTAATTTAGAGGGCATCCGGGTGGGCCTTCATTTGTAGTCCGGGTTTAAAAATTTAAAGTCTTGGGCCTCCCGCGACATACCCACTGTGCTCGCACACACCACGATCAACCGACGAACCGAGTCGCTATATTCACCGTCCCCCCGTATAATTTATTTTTTTTAGGTTTCATATTTTTATAAGGATTTGTTTTCCTAACAAAGTATATTAANATTTGTTTTCATAACAAAGTATATTAATAATTTGAGTTTTATTTTAAGGATAAAAAATCTAACTGATTATTAAAACAATTTATAACAAACTGTAATAAGATTCTGTTTTGTTAGGCACATTTAAAATGATGATAAAAAATGACTAAATTTAATTTTAAGGTCTGAAAATAAACAAAAAGTTGATTTATGACATTTTCAACGCCTTTTATTACACTGACTATGTTTAAAAAAACCTGTTGACATGTCCGGGTTCTGGACTCTGAAATCCGGGGTTTTCACGCGTCTTGTCCTGGTTTCCAAATTTTACAGATGGCAACCCTACACATACTTCCTTCCCAGTTTTTTCAAATAGCGCTTACATAATTTTTATCGACGTAGACAACCATAAACGTTAAAATTGTGTGCTATCAAGGGTGCGTTCCGAAATATAACCTAGTGCACTGGCCAGCGCTGATGACGTCATGAGACGACGCCATACTGTTGATTCGCCCCGAAATATACTGACCAGTGCGTTGACGTCAAATTGACACCATATTTTGTTCCAAAAGTTATTAAAGTTTCTGACAATAAAATATTGATATACTACAACGTCACACCTGTCTCACCAGTACAATATGGTGGCACACCAAAACAATATGGCGTCGACATCATCAGCACTGACCAATACGCTGGGTTATATTGCCGGAATCCACCCCAAAGTTTCGGACGTGTGACGAAGCCATTTAAATCAGTACCACCTGCATTGTTGAGTAATTGAACTTACCATATAAATCCACTTTTGAATTGAGTGGTCCACTGGAGGCATAAGCAATGTCAACCAAATGAGGATACTTGATGCGAGCCCACGTGGCAAGAGTTGCAGAATAAGAAGCTCCCATTACTATAACCTAAAGTGACCGTAAATGAATATAATTATATTCTTAATTTCTCTTAATTTATTGTTGCTTAATTAACGTTTTTGCTGTCAATTGGCAACAAACTCAAAAGCAATACTAGTTTTAATAGAAACTTAACGAAAAAAAGAATAAAGATATGTAAATGCTTCAGTAAATACTAATTAGAGTTACTTACTGAACTGTTTTGTAAGTCTTTATTGTTTTTCTTTTGGTATTTAATAAAGTAGGCAAGGTCAGCTAGAGCTTGATCGGCCGAAAGATATTTTAAATTTTCAGAAGTCCAATCACTGTAAAAATAATTTAAAATACATCTTTATGCCAATTAGTTATCAATCAAGTTTCTTTTGCTCATGTCAAATGTTATCCTTAGTGCTATTTTCTGTAAGGTATAACAACCTAATTAGGTTTTATGTAGTGCATTACTATCAGAAGCTACGAGTAGAACTTTTCAGAAAACATGGGCAAATTTGAGTAATATATTTTCACGTATTTTATAGTGTGGAATCAAAAATTAGGGAAAAAATTCTTTATTCGTTATATCAACACAAACGTTCCGCCTTTTGATTAGGGCGGCTGAAAGAGTCATAAATATATTGATCTTGTCTTATCATGTCTTGAAAACCAAGACAATGCCAAAAGCAAGATGCTTGTATTCAGTGGTGTTGTGCTAATTTTTTTGACGTGACAACGTCTTATAATTCGATGGAGCCGGCTGCACGCACGAAAAAACATGACTCATGCGGCGTTACCTCGCTCTAAGGCGTTCCATTTAAGGCTTGAAGTGCAAGCGAGAGCGCGGAACGAGCGACAAAGAGGCACAATCGGTCTCCGCGTTCGGCAGCGTTCGACATCTGTCTCTCTCCTACTT